GAGGTTTAGCAGCTTTCAGTAATTCACAGTCGTGTGCCAATATTGTGCTTCGACACTTCTTTTAGAACTGCAAAAAATAATGTCACGCCGACGAACTATTACTTTCAGGCAACAAAGTTCTAGTCCAGTTAATTCTGGTTGAATGCTGCGAGCTAAAATCTTTTTATCGACTCTATTTTCCATGCGTTTTGCCTTCCAAGGTCTCCCTAAATGTAATGCAATAAACTCTCCTTTGGTGCTTGCTTAGTGAAGGTGTGGCTACTTTCTAGTCATCTGACACCCAGGAATTTAGAAATGAGCAAAGAATCAAACAATCGGTTTCTTGAAAAGGGGAACATTGACGACTTCACGCAACAGGGAATCGAGAGACTGTGGGACCTGTATTTTAACTCACTTTTCTGCGCCTACTAATTGTCACTTGATGTTATTTAAGGACTATTAAACAGTAAAAGCCTGATATCTGCCAACTCTCCTCCCATACCTCGATGAACCCTATTTATCAAAACCTGGGTTCTACTGTCTCAGTATTTCTAGCCTTTCCTTTCGATTCTTCCTTCCTCGAACATTATTTTATGGTTTTCTAGTACACACACGACCCCAATTACCTCTCCGTCTGGCACATCCATTTAACTCCCCCCCCCCCAATTGTGAAAATATTCATTTCGTAAGATGACTTCTGAGCCCCGTTTGGCTGCGCTCTTAAAGCAGCTTTACTGTCGAAAATAGTGCTGGTTTCGATGTATTTTATCGTTCCGTTTGTGTAATTGAAGGAAAAGCAAATGAAAATGAGGGAATTCGCGCATTGTTCAGTCAGTGATTGGAAGCAGAGTCGAATATCGAATGCCCTGGATCGGCGAGTAGTAAATCTTATGTAGTCAACTGCACCAACTTCGAGGAATAAAGGCAACATGCTGGTGTAGATGCATGTCAACTTCAAACGAAAGGAGAAGAATAGCACTTGTCTAAGAATTAATTCGAGTTCGGTTGTTTACGTTCTCCTGACACTCGGTTTCTTCCACACGAACATTTATCTCCTCCGACAGCCGACCATTATTTTCATCTTTAAGGTCGCACAATGGACCAATCGCGGTTTAACTTAGTCAAGCAGTAAACTGCCAATTCAGTTCCTCCCTGTGTGAAATTGGCAGTGCCGCGTTTGCTTTGTGTGAATTTGATTATTAAAAGCAAACATTCCGACATACTGGCTTAATCTGTGCAAATAGTACAAAGAATATTGCAACAGTGTGTCATTATGAGGGGTGCATGAATCGAAATCTTTCGTTTTGTATTGACGGCTGTTCCATTCTAAGAACACATTTGAGTTAGGAACTTATCGCATTATTTTTGCGCGCCGTAAAATACGATCCTAGGAAAGTTGATGCAAAACGAAAATTAGGATTAACAAGAAGCCCCCCAGTGGCCATTTTTTGTCCCATGCTAGTACTTTAAATCAGCAGTGATCCCACCAATCGGCAGACGCCTTTGTCTTCTAACTTTGCAGGAAATAGTCCCGGTAATTTAGCGACTCGAGACAATTGCAAAGCAGGTAAGCAAAAGCACATTTTGCTACTTGAGCACTTTGTACCCATTATTTAGTTCGATTGTAATAAATCAATATAGATTCAACAACACTCTTCCCACTTCGTGGTTTGGATTATCGAAGGAAGGAATCATTGGTTCATAGATTAGCCAACCACGTTCCGTTGATTCAAATTTGCATAAGCAAATGTATTTTCTAACAAATTGAACTTTTGTTACAAGTCTTCCACATTCTTTCTTCTGAAAATGTCCTAGTTACTGGGAGTCATGGTCGAACAGAAGCAGTCAATGCAATAAAAAAAGAGACAACGATATTTTAGTAAAAATATTTGACAAGATATATATATATATATATATATATATATATATATATATATATATATATATATATATACTAAATTGGATTTTAAAAAGCCAACAGTCTTATACAAAATTTAAAATATAACTAGAGAAGAGCCTTCTTGGGATTCCTTTCTTACTTCTGTCTTCCGTTTCCCAAACAAAAGAGGAAGGCTTCGGCGCATGAAGACATTATAGGCTTGAGGTGGAACGAACGGGAATCGAATCACCGATCGTCGGATTTGGCACTATCATCTAGGAAGTCTGCAACGCAGAGGACGTCATCTGGATGGATTGATAATTCCAAAGACGTGCCATCTTCAAAAGGCAATGCTAACCATCCGTCCACTGAGATGTATGCGTCATCCATTCGAGAGACAACTCGCAGTCTGCATGTAAAGAAGACGCACTTTTAGGTGGTGCACAACATACTACTTAAATAATGGGTACATACAATTTATGTGATATGTTATACACACTTCCATGAAAAGTTAGAAAAATGATTAATGTTGGCACAAAACAGGATGAGAGAGAAATTTTTCTTGTAAAGTTCATTGTGACGAAGGTCCATTAAAACGTGACGGAATCAAAAACTGGGGAATGACTGACACTACAGGGGTTATAAAGCTAAGTGCAATGAAATTTATTGCGTGCAATATCAGTGTACTTTCACGCGGACATTAAACTTTACATGGGGTGCACGATGAATTTGCCGCTACGTGGTGTACCCTGGGCAAAGTATACTCATACGGGAAAAAAAGTCTATAACTCGGCAGTTGACTTCTCACTTCAAACTACCATCACCCCACGGTATGTCATATTCGATCACTTTCACAGTACTCGCCTTTGTGTCTGACTCTTTTACATCTGCGAATCACTCTTCTGTTCCACCTCTTCACATCGTGTGACTTTGTCTGTAACTCCCCTCTGTGAAGTTCAAAGTCAGCTGAAGGGCTGTTGATAACTGTCGAAGCGCCTGCCATTTGAGACATAAATAAATATTGTCAAACTCACACTAACCTATAAATAGTTAATATTAGTCTCTTTCCTGACCAAACTCCTCTCCATCTGCAGTTACACTTCCAACGGATTCACCAGCCAAGTCAGATTTTGAGCGAGAGGGAGAGAGATCAAAGAACACGCCTCCCTATTAAGGAAGATCCTTTATGAGAGCATCAATTATCAATCGTTCGATCGGATAAAGAGATCAGTGGCAACTGGCTCTAAGCCACTGCTCAATGCCGTAGAAATAAAGAGTATTAATTTGAGAAGAATATTCATGTGAGTCTCCAAAATATGCCACAAAAATGTGAGGTATTTGTTTGCTCCATTTTTCAATGTACGAGGCATTGCGATTGGTCACGATAGTAATTAGGCGCTGTGTGATTGGTCAACACGCGCACACACACCCAATGTTGTAGAAAAAATGGGAAACTAAAGCCACAGCGATTAAATGCCTAAAAGCTCGATCTCATGAAATAAGAGTGGAAAATTCACACACGAGTGACCAAGGACATCATCATCACCATCAGCAGCAGATTTGAGGCAGAATTGATTGCTCAAATTTGGCTTTCCCCCCCCCCTTCCCCTCCCTAACACCTTCATTCAGCAGTATAAGATTCAAAGAAGAGAAAGGCAGGCAAGCGAATAACATGTGGCACACATTAGACACAGGTACCCATCAATTGCACTGCACGAATTAACTTGTTAGACGGAGACAGTACAATGGCAAGTGCACACTTCTCATGCTTTAATTATTAAGGTGAGAGTTTTAACCACATTGATAAGCAAGTAACCTTGACACTCACCAGATGGAAGCATACAGGTAGTATGGGTGCTGAGTCATTGACGAGATTAAGATAGGTACCTATCTGAGTCCGAGGACCATGAAACAGAGGCAAGGTGGTTGATTTCTCCCACTCTTTGTTTGTTTTGCTGAGCTTTATTTTCATATTTTATGTACCTTTTGCAATTTGTGGCCTTCCACATTTTACTTCACTTCATATTTAGACCGAACAAAAATCGATAATTGTGCATACACAACTTCGTGTTTAAATTTTGAAAGGAGACAAAACGAAAGAATGACTCTCAGACAAGTCAATAGCACTTAAAGCCTTTCTCTACCTCAAATAATAATAATAATCAATATGGCCGCATATATCACTAACTGAGACTGAACCAAGAGATATTGAAAGGATGCATGCCTGCACATAGGCAGCTACATCATCGGTGCATAATATTCAAGAAAGATATGATACCAAACTATTCTGCAACATGCACATGGATTCGTCCTATCAACCTTTATACTGATGAAAACTCAAACGATCCGGAAAGTAAACCAGAGCAGAACTACATCACCCAACCTTGGAGAAATAGGTGTGGTTAAATAGTCACGAAAAAACAAATGAACGATGTTGAGGATGTGTGATTAGGTATCTTCATTATCATATTTGCAATTATTGATCACGTATTTCGCAAAAAGGGTGGCATGATGACAGTTTCCGTCAATTAATATCCTGAGACCTAATTCTGAGGTACGACTTGACCGATGTCATGTGATAACGCGGACAAAACAGAGCTCAAAACCGTAGTTCTCTCACAGGCTTCTCCCAAGTCATCCACCATCCTCATTGATGTGTGTGTGCTCACACTGATTCTGACTGAAATAGAAGAAACTGTTACCAGTCCGGTAACGCTTTGACTTTCAACTAGCAAATAGAATGAAGAGGAGTTTATATTTCTCATTGTTTTATAAGCTCAAAGAATGCTAGAAGTGAGCCGGTAACCCTGTGGACAAAACCAAAGCACACACCCACACGTAGAGTGGAACTAATGGTGAAGGCAAGATTGAAGTTCAGCAAGGCCACTCTCTAGAACAGGCACTATAGTTTCTGAGCACCCGCTCAATCACTCTCCAGGTATGAGTCAATTGTAGCCCAGCAATATAGCGCGAGTAGATGGATTACAACAGAGGCAGAAACTAGATCACAACAGTGTGGAAGACCAACCAACTATAAAAATACTACCCACAACTTTGCATATCATAGATTTGGCCAATTGAACAACCGATAAGGACCCACAAAAGGATATTTTAAATGTCAAAAAATGTAAAAAAGCATTACTCACTTCCTTGCAAAGCCCCTCGGAGAGCCGAATTTAAAAACGTCTATAAAGAACAAAAAAGAGATATAGTTTCACGACCTCCTTGAAGACGCTTTAGAAAGAGAGGAAGAGCATACGATTGGCAATTAGTTCCCGAACAGAAAAGGCCATATATTGTGAATCTGGAGGAAATAGGAGACTACTATTGTAACGTTCGGCAATAAGAGCTGCTAATTCAAAGTGACTAGAGGCCATGGAAAGATTATTGCTGCTTGAAGAAGTGGAGGACTCTGAAGCCAGAGACAAAATCCGCGCAACAAGGTTCTCATCGATTTGGTGAAGACTACGATGCCATGAAGATGATCCAGTCCCAGTGCTAACCAAAAATCCGCTCGACTTTTGAGTCATAGGTTCGCCGTCGTCTATTGAGACCTCATATCGGGAGACTCTTGAGGTCATGCAGGCGCTGACGAAGACGTCGTTGAGCGATCGGAAAGGAAGAAGGTGGACGGGAGATTGAACCGGGGCTTTGGATTGTGCAGTCTCGTCTGAATGTCGAGAGTGAGGTGTATGAGGCTCGAAAATAAGCGGGGTGACATCATCGAGGCTTTTCAGTTCACTGGATGGTGTGGAAGATATCAATCGAATGCGCTGACGATAAGTACGCCTACATTAATCAACAAACAAATACACTATCTAATGTCGCACTTAGCGAATTATATGAGGTAAGATATTGGCAACTCATGAATAAGCTGGCAAACGGAAAGAAAAAGAGCATAGAGAATAAAGCCACCAAGATGAGAAACTGACGCCGCGATGTGAAGCGATTATACCCGGAAATCCTTAAAGCAGATTCTCCTAGTCGGTAAAGGCTACGCGATGATAGAGAGAAGGGAGATTTGTTGAACACGAAACGTTTATTGCAAAGTATGATATCGGCAAATGCGATTAGCTATCAAATTGACCTAGCAAATCTTGAGTGAGCATTAATAGCTAAAAATCTGGGCAGTGCTCGAGGCGTGCGTGCATATGATGACGTTCTCACAGGTGGGCAACAATACAAATACCCAGCTAATGGACAATAACAAGAGTTTACAATTAATAGCATTTAAGTTTCACTTTATAAGTAAGAAGAATGTATGCGTACAAATCAATTTACAACAATCATTTCAGCATTCTTATGTTGTAAAAATGGATGGAAAGCATGATTTATTTTCAACCTGTAGCAATATTGCTGAGATTAATATCCACAAATTTCATCAGTTGGAAATGAATGATAGTTCACCAAGAGTGCCACTTGCACCAATGAAATCCTAATTAAGAGGCCCTGCTGATTTCAAGTTTATCCTGAACTATCGTCTTATAAGATCCCCCAATAAGGGAGTTAATCAAGCAAATAAAATGACCATGATATTGAAAACAAAATGGAAATAAACATGGTTATACTTGAAATCGCCCTTCATTAGTCGATCCACGATCAGGGGAATGTTGGTGTGCCAATGACGAGGTAGACAAAGGCTACCTTGCGACCTAAGGGATGAAATAAGTAGGAATAATGGGATGGTTCAATTACAAATCCTACAACTGTTGAATAACAAATATTTCTTACGTATCAGGATTGCTGTTGATTCCAATAATGGGTTTGTATTTATCTGTAATTCGGAGAGCGGCGCTGAGAAATGTTCCGTCACCCCCAACAGAGACAACTAAATCTGCTGAATTAGCATCTTTATAGTCATATTTATTGCAATTCACGGTGCTCACTTGAACACCATATTTTCTAAAATAAAACAAATATTTAAATCTCAATCAAGAAATGTAATGTATAAATATTTTTACCATATAGAAAAATGATAGTTTTCTAATAGGAAGAAACTCACGAAAAGCACTCTGTCAACCCATTTATAATACGACAGTGATTCTCGTGCTTACGAAGAAGCCGTTTATAGTTTTTGCCCTTTTTTAAGATCTATTAAAGTGAGTGTGTCACTGACAACCTTACGTGTTCTTCGAATGACGATTTTGAATTATTGGAGTATGTACTTTTTTCATAATCAATTCCCGTCGTTTTACATACTATTAGCGCTTTCTTGAAGGAAGTAGAGATCGATACATTTTGAGATTTAAATAGGATATTTATATTTGTTCCAAGAGAAGAAACAAGACCGCGTCTTATCATCTGTTACAAGAACAAACATTGCATCCTAAGCCTTGAAAAAGTCTTTCTAAAGTATTATAACAAGGATGGCTCAGATATCCAAAACCCAAATTACTTCATTGAACATATAAACTGTATAACTTCATATAATTTTTAAAGATAAGCAATTATGACTGTTCAAGAAAATGAAGGAAATTATTAATATTTAAAAATAGAGTCAACAAAAGAGCCATTTCTAAAATGGCAATACACGACCTGTTAAAATAAAATTTGAACTTAAATTTTATTTCTAAAGCTTTGTAACTGGACTTAGAATCCATGTCAAATTACAAGATATAATCGGATATTTTTCAAATAACCTCTGTTTTTACAAATTCGAAATTATTGCACATATCTTTTTCGTAGGGGTTTCATTTTTCAGCAAGTGCATTATCCTATACGTTAAATAATAAATTAAACAATGCTTAAATTTGCTTTTTCAATTGTGAAATGACAAAGCTAAATACATATGTGGGAGGAAGGTGTTCTCAATACTTATTCTTGCTTCAGTTAGTTTGTGAACCACAACGTAGGTTACTTTAAATTTATAATGCAAACATCTGTCAAAATGATCACTTCATAAGATATCACAATACTGGTTCCATCTACAAAGATTTTAACCAATTTGGCCAAAATAAAAGTCAAATAATATTACATTTCCTTCCCCAACAACCATGAATATCAAAGCATAATATATCATAAAAAATATTAAACAAAATAAAAAAGTATCCTCCGTTTAAGATTTAAAAATGCACAACTGTTAGAGACGACACAAGGCACTCTATATGTGTCAATGACAAGCAATACGATGAAGACTATAATGTGCATAGACAGTTAAATTGAACATCAGTGTGTTTGCCTGGCGAAATCTTCACCCTTATTTGTTTATCAATCAATTGGGATGAAAACCTAAACACTTTCGTAAAGTCCTATGAGCTTGAGTGATTGGACATTTTCATTCAATGTGGCATCAGAATGCAATGCTCTACATTCGGATGAATTCTAATACTGTTCCAATGAGGAAAATTAGCAAACCCCACCTCCTGTGTACAGACCTGAATTAATTTAATGTTGACTGGGGGAAGTCCAGGACACTTTTGAGCAACCAAAATTTACAATGAACGTCATTTAACTCAATATATTTCTTATTTAAATTCAGAATTATTATGTGTATTTTGTTGCTGCTCTGAATCTTTCAATGGGAAAGCTGCATTTACTACTTCACACTACCTTATCCCCCTCGAAAAGAGGCCTTTTCACATTGAAGGTAAATAAATTAAAAGGCTGAATACAAAAGTAGTCTTTATATCAGCAGACAAATCAATCAAAATAGAGTTGAGAATGCAAAATCAGTCAGTGCTAATTCGTTTTGTGAGGAAGTTATTTCACAATTCTGCTTCTCTTCTACCCTGGTTCCAAAGTACTCGATGTACACTGCGATTAGGGAGCGCAATGTTGCAAGTGAAAATAAGAAAGCAATAGTGAGTCGGAGACATGTTCGGAATATTACGGGTACTTCGTAGGCCAGCCAATAGAGCTGTTGGGCATCCTCCTTTTTCACAGAAATCAACTGAAATGCATGAAAAACATGTGGGTCATTGAGCATTCAATGTTAATAATAATAGAATTAATATTAAACATACACTTTTAACGTGGGCAAGTGGAATGTAGAGATCTTTTCCAAGCTTCTTCTCTCTACAAGGAAAAAATCCATGAAATTGTCCAGTTCACAGAACTTTCATGGATAGTATACTGATGTTCATTCATTTCCTTCATTAGAGAGTAAATTTTCCAGATGAATTTTTAGTTCGAAAAATAATAAACATTTTAAATCTGTTCGACAATGTGTACTCATACTGAAAAAAGTCTATTGCTTGGCAGTCGGCTTCAAACTATTACAACAAGCCAGAAACGAAACTCTAATAGGAAAACACGTTTCTGTCAGGGTGAATCACAACTTCTACAGATTCTTCAGTTGACTGCTGGAGGGATGCCACAAGACAAGAATATCGAAATCCAGAAAATCATGTATATCTATGATGCAAACATATTCACAATCCATGGAATCCAAACTTACGGATGACAAATTCGAATACTGCCAATTCCAGTGTTACGCCTTTTATCTCCTTCTTAATGACCAGAAAATAGTAAGTTTCGACTGGCGTAAAAGGTGGTCTTACAACACATTGTGAAATAATCAAGAGCATGTGTTCGATTTAAGATGTGTACAAAATAATCAGGTTACATGTTTGAAAGTGTCAAAACCACTTCAAGATATAGGCGGTCTATAATCCACCCCAGAATTGACCCAACTTCGATCTTCTGAACATCTCACGCAAAGCTGTATTACTTGGAGACTTCAATACCCATTCCACCAGATGAAACAATAAGAACGGAAACACGGTTTGGAAGGAAATCGAAAACATGCTTTACAGCGATGAGGATCATGCTACTTACCTTCACTACATCAACGAACTTACACACCACAAAATAATTGACGATCCTGGTTCTGATCACAAATCAGTCAATACTAGTATCACCATCAGCAACAAATGCATGACACTCAAATTGCCAACCAAGCTATCAAGGAACTTCAAGAAGGCCGACTGGCCTAGAATCATAAATCTTTAATTAAATGAACTTTTCTCAGGTTCCATCAACTACAACCATCAACCTGACAAACTGTGCAACCATATCACCAATATTATAACCAGATTTGCAAGGAATACTATTCTCCAAGGAAAAGCTAAACACTATAAAGTGTTCTGGTCTAAACATCTTGAGGAAGTGAAAAGAAAGCGGGACACCCTTTGTAGCACTACTGAAGAGATTGGAAGAAGGGAAGACGTACGAGCCTGGAGATGGCTGTCAGCTGTTCTAAGCGAAACGGACTACCTTCGAAAACTTCTTCTCATATACCAATTATCAAAATGATAGCCAAGACACATTCAGATTCCTGAGTAACCTCCAAAACAACAAGAAAATACCCTAGAAAGAACCAATAATCTTAACTAATAAACTGCTTACATCCGACACCTAAATAGCTAACTCATTTGCCATGTTCTATTCCCTTTTGCCAGATAGTTTTCAAGAGATATAAAGAAACAAGTAACAAAGTTTGGTGAAATTAAGGAAGACACAACAATGCCACATATTGTGCGTACTGAATCATTCAGCTCCCACAAACTTACTTATAAGATAAAACAGCTAAAGTACAAAATGTCTCCTGGAGAAGATGGTATTCATCCAGGATTTCTGTTTAGATTGTGGCCAAAAGCTACGGAAATCATGTTGACAGTATTCAACAAAATTTGGGAGACCTGTCTCGTATCTAACCAATGAATCATTGCCATAGTAATACCAATACAGAAAAGGGCAAAACCCTTGCAAATTTGACAACTATAGATCTATCTCCCTAACAAGAATGATGGATAAACTCATGGAAAGAATGGTTCACAGGAGGCTAACCTTGTTTCTTGAAATAAAAACATTCTTTGATACAAACAAACAGGTGTTAGGCCACAAAGATCAACAAACCACCAAGTAGTCACTCTATCTCAGCATGTCAAGATGTCCTTGATGCAAGCAATACTCTTAGGACTGTATTCATCGATTTCGAATCAGCATATGACCTAGTATGGAATGAGAACCTAATTCTGAAATTGCCGAAGATTGGTACAAAACTTAACATGCTAAACTAGATAAAAGCGTTCATTGGGCAAGGATTATGTAAAGTCAGATAAGGAAACGATCTGTCCAAATCTAATATTTTACAAGCAGGCCCGCCACAAGGAAATGTAACAAGGTGCTCCCCTTTCAACAACTTCATCAATGATATAGCAGAACAACAAATGCCTTCATTATGAGGATGGTCTTGTTGTATGGTATTCCGCCCTCAAGAAGAACGCTCAGAAGAGGACGAAAGCTGGTGCGACAACGACGGAATGGTTATCAACACCTCGAAAACTGAATTCAAGCACTTTCATTGGCCCACCTCAGCATAAATCCTCATTTAATGTGACGTTTGACACAAAACTTACATGGAGAAAAAAACACTGACAAAATAACGGAACAAGCCTCCAGTAGACTGAACGTACTGAAGCTGCACGCGATCAAACCTAAACACTACTTTCAAGATGTCTGTTCAGTCAATAAAGCTGTTCTGCTGTGAGCCACTCATTGAAGCATCTGAGGGGATTCTGAAATCACTCGAGAAGACGCACAACCAGACACCGTGTCTACTTACTGGAGGAGTAAAATCAACACCCATTGATGCAATGCTCCTCGTTACAGGGAACACCACAATGCGTTACCTTATCAAAGAGAAGGCCTTGACCCTGTACGAGAAGCTACTGCGCATTCCCATGCACAAATTCTTTAGCAAATACGAAAATAGACCAAGACACCTATAAACCCAAACTGACCTAATAAAGAAAGTCATGGAACTGAAGAAAGCATCACGAATTGCTGACAAACCAAAAAGCCTCTCTCTACTCCAAAGCCTATTAGCAGATACTGATGTGCAATGTTGCACCCAACTGGTTGACCATTTCAGAAAAGCAAATTCCCCTCCTGAACATATGCGACCATTGGACCT